TTTTTTTTTTGATTCAGTGACGAAATTTGTGACAGATTTTTAGAGACGGAATATATTCCGTCACAAAAGTCAATAAATTCTTGTCCGTCACAAAATTTAAAATTCCCTCACAAAATGCGTCACTATTAGCGATGCTATTTTTTTCGTCACAAAATTCGTCACAAATATTAATTTTTCTAGTAGTGCAATAAGCACCATTAGATGCTCTATTCTAGTTCAAAGGTTTAAAATCATTTCCCAATCTCTTAAAAACCTCAAGTTCAAGTTAAGGGTGATCAAGCCATAACAAGCATTATGCACAGAAACAAAGCAATAAAATTGAATAACAACTGAGATTGATTACTTACAGCTTACACATGATGAGAATGGGTTTAATTACATCAAACCCCAACAAGGGTGAGATTAGCTACACATAGACATGTAGAACTCTACAAAATGATGAAGAAAGGAAGAAGCTTGATCTTGAAGGTTCCAGAGCTCTCCAACCGCCACACAAATTCTAAGAATGATGCCTCTTCTTCTATCCTCGAAATATCCTCTTTTAGGTCATAAAAGCTTTTGTCTTATGAGAATAATGACATGTTAGCACAATCCACGCTAAGCGTGAGATGCCACGCTAAGTTTGAGGATTGGTCTGGAAAGAAATGATGTTCTGGGACTCTCACACTCAGCACCAATTCCACGCTCAGCACCAATTCCACGCTCAGCTTCAGGATTGAAGTTTGTTCCAGTGATTCTCTACCAAGCTGAGGCTAAGTGTGGATCTGAGGCTTAGCCTGGAGACTTAAACCAAAAATTCCTTCTACTTTGAGTTTACCACGTTGTCCTTTGCTTCCTTCATTCTTTCCTAGCTTTCTCCTAAACTACAAAATAACAACCAAATACTTATAAGTTACCTAAAAATATAATTCAAAGACAAAATGTAATCACCTAACAGTTTAGATATATTTTGAGTTAAAAACAAAATCTAAAGCAAAGAAAATTGATATAAGTGCTTCAAATTAGGTCATAAACTTAATGAAATCATAAAACTTATCAAACCTGTTATAGAAAATACATTTTTCTAATATTCTATTCATTTTTTGAATTTTCTCAAACTTGTATGGAAAAAACACAATTTAGATAGTTCAATACAACAGATTGTTGTCCAATTCAATACAAACATATATAAAATACAATATCCCTCATTTAAATTCAAACAATAGACAAAGTAAACTAGTTAACAATCAAAGAGAGTTAATGATAAAGTTAAAGTTAACAATAATAGTCATAAATTATAATAATGAACAATTAGTATAAGAATGTACCATTGTTATCAAAGAACAATGAATCGAAAGTAAACTAGTCAATGTACTCAAAGAAAAAAAAATAATGTACAAAAATATAAATTAATCCTCAAATTAACTCAATACATGTGGATGCCCATCTTTTGTGTATATCCTTTCAACTCTTCATCGACAAATAGAGTTGGATTTTTTAATATCTAGAATTAATTCAAAATAAAGATAAGTTAAATATTAGTTGATCGATCATTAAACAATTAAATAATTATTTAAAATAATTAAACTGATTTAAAAATATATTACCTCTGAATGACATAATCAATACATTCTATAACAAGTGCAATTATATTTTTCACAGAATGTTCTTTCTATATCGAATAAATTCTCACCTACCATAAAATGATTGTTCATATTTACGGATTTGTCACCGTGTCACTATTTATGACGTGTAGATGAGACTTGCCATAAAAAGCCTTGGTGACAAACTAGTTAAATCACTTATAGACTCGAAAGATGAAAATTATACTTTAAATTATTGAATGTAAATTTTGAATCAAATTAGTTTATGTTTGGGATCTTCTCATTCACTAATTAATATTGACATTAAATATGAGGCTAATTTATAATTTGACCAATTAATACATACTAAAGAACGAGGACTGTAATTAATTTTTTTTTAAGCATTCATAAGTTAATATATATATAAACATTTTAGACTTCAACTTACTGAACTTAGTTTACATATTTGTATAGTTTCCCACATGATCATAATTGTCTGTCTTGCTTGATTCAATGTGAAGTATAATATGTGATTTGACAAGATAATTTATTTTTGAAATTCTTAGGAGCGATTGTTAATTCTGAGTTAGCTTCTGACGAAGTGCTTAATAAGATAGTGGAAGAAATTGGTCGTGCTGTTAATGAATTAAAGGAGCATGTTGAGAACTGGCATCTATTGTCTAGCAAAGTATACTTTGTAAGTTTCATAATATCTTAACTTTTAGTTTGTAGATATGAGGGCATATTTGTCTTAGTTGTTACTTTAAAGTAAAATGAATTGAGCTCCCAATGGGTTGGTTATCCTTCTGATTTTATTATTTTTTTATAATTTATATGCAGATTCAATTTTAGCATAAATATGTCTGCAACATTTTTTTTTGTGGTTGTTGAGGAAATTGTGCTATTTACTTCTGTTTCATATTGATTATCACAATTATGATAACATTGATGTATTTTGTCATCTTCTGGCTCACTCCTGCTCTCACTACCTTTCTATCATCTTGTGTTCCTTTCACCAGTACTTCCAATTCTTTTCTTTGTGTTTATGCACCTATATTATAATTGCCTTTTCAAGTTCATTTGTTTTTAGCTAACAGGTTATACTTTTGATAAACCAAAGGTTCAGGATCCTAATGATTCAGAAGATATGATGGCATAATAATACTATATTTAGTGTAAATGTAGGTGTGGGGATGTGGTGGTGGATGCAATAACACGGTTGCTTGCGTTTTGCATTCAAAATGCAGATATTTCTATCAAATATGAATTTGTGTTCTATAATTTCACCATGTTTCTTTTGTTTTGGTAATGATCCTGCATCATCATTTCTAATGTTTTGTTTTTTTTAAGAAATAAATAATTATCTTCTCTTTGAACATGTGTAGCTCTGTCATTTTATATTAACAATTTCAGAAGATCAAACATTTTAGACTTCAACTTACTGAACTTAGTTTACATATTTGTATAGTTTCCCACATGATCATAATTGTCTGTCTTGCTTGATTCAATGTGAAGTATAATATGTGATTTGACAAGATAATTTATTTTTGAAATTCTTAGGAGTGCGATTGTTAATTCTGAGTTAGCTTCTGACGAAGTGCTTAATAAGATAGTGGAAGAAATTGGTCGTGCTGTTAATGAATTAAAGGAGCATGTTGAGAACTGGCATCTATTGTCTAGCAAAGTATACTTTGTAAGTTTCATAATATCTTAACTTTTAGTTTGTAGATATGAGGGCATATTTGTCTTAGTTGTTACTTTAAAGTAAAATGAATTGAGCTCCCAATGGGTTGGTTATCCTTCTGATTTTATTATTTTTTTATAATTTATATGCAGATTCAATTTTAGCATAAATATGTCTGCAACATTTTTTTTTGTGGTTGTTGAGGAAATTGTGCTATTTACTTCTGTTTCATATTGATTATCACAATTATGATAACATTGATGTATTTTGTCATCTTCTGGCTCACTCCTGCTCTCACTACCTTTCTATCATCTTGTGTTCCTTTCACCAGTACTTCCAATTCTTTTCTTTGTGTTTATGCACCTATATTATAATTGCCTTTTCAAGTTCATTTGTTTTTAGCTAACAGGTTATACTTTTGATAAACCAAAGGTTCAGGATCCTAATGATTCAGAAGATATGATGGCATAATAATACTATATTTAGTGTAAATGTAGGTGTGGGGATGTGGTGGTGGATGCAATAACACGGTTGCTTGCGTTTTGCATTCAAAATGCAGATATTTCTATCAAATATGAATTTGTGTTCTATAATTTCACCATGTTTCTTTTGTTTTGGTAATGATCCTGCATCATCATTTCTAATGTTTTGTTTTTTTTAAGAAATAAATAATTATCTTCTCTTTGAACATGTGTAGCTCTGTCATTTTATATTAACAATTTCAGAAGATCAAACATTTTAGACTTCAACTTACTGAACTTAGTTTACATATTTGTATAGTTTCCCACATGATCATAATTGTCTGTCTTGCTTGATTCAATGTGAAGTATAATATGTGATTTGACAAGATAATTTATTTTTGAAATTCTTAGGAGTTGAGCTTGGGACCTAACTCAACTCTATAAGACTAGCTTGCATGTTATTTTAAATTAAGGACCTAATTTGACTACTTATCAAAGAAATGTTAACAATATTGGAACACATTCTTAATTATAATTAAACGATTGAAATTTATTAACAATCATAAAATTATATAAGCCCACTTATTTAATGGAATATGAGATGAAGTAGTTTGAGAGAAATTACAGGTAACACTAACATACATAATTATACATTACAAAAATGTTACATATAATGACATATAAAAAATGTCATTATAAGAATATATATAAGTATATATCTATTTGACATATAGTTATATATAATTTTAGTATTGATTTTGAATGAGATTTACCAATATATTTTATGTGTCACGATAGTCTATACCAACAATAATATATTAACATATACTATATTTATTGTGTAAGTAAAAATAATCTTTAGTGACATGTATAATATTATTATAAGATATATGTCACTATATGATAATTTTTCCTGTAATGATACATTATAATTAAAACTCAATATAAAGAAGTGGACCAAATAAAATTATTTTGTAATAACGAGCGTGTAAATGTTCTATATAGAGAGCTAATTAATTAAGACTAACAATATATTTTCTAACAAACTAACAACAACTAACCAATTATTCTAACAAACTAACATCTCTTAACATCTTGCATTTTTTCTTAACACAAACGTATTGATGCCACTGTCACACTTCTTGAATGTTGTTAAAACAAAAATTTTGTGTGCTAGAGCAAAGGGTGTGCATGATGCATTTTGCTCAATTTTCTGGTTATATATAATGTTGTATAAAAAGGGCTTCTAACAAAGTGAAGATAGACATCAATGGCTTGGATTTACGAGCAATCTATATTGGCACTTTTTGCTGTGTGTATGTTCTATGGTGTTTTATCTTCAAGGCTAGAACTTTTCTCTTCCTTAGCTCCCTCTAACTCTTTATTGTTGGTCTAATATATAGCAGATCCTCTAGTCAGAGAATTTAAAGCCATGGGTCCAGAGAACAATGGTACGTTGGATTTGCTGTGATGTTTGTGATAACTATTTCAACCGAAATATATCTCATATATGTTGAGCAGCTTGTAACTTGTCACATGCAAAATATTTTCACTAGTCATGTTGATTGGTATTTTAGCATCCTTCTCCTTCTCGTCTTTAATTAGTTGCAATTTGTGACATGCAAAATATTTTCAGTAGCCACACTGATTGGTATTCTAGTATCTCTTCTCTTGCCTTTAATTAGTCAAAATTTCTTTGAAAATCAAGGAATTAGTTGAATCATGAAACACACAAATAGAATTAAGACGTTTTGCTTGTGACAAATTGCAAGCTTCTCAACACAAAATATATTTTAGTTGAAATGGTTATCACAATCATCACAGAAAATTCAACACCCTTGTGCATAGAACTTGTGACTTTAATTTCTCTGACCAGAGGGAGCTGCTGTTAGGCCAACTATTACAGACAAAAGAGAGTTCAGGATGAGGGATGTCCTAGTTTTCTTGTGAAGAGCAACATCTACTGTGTTAACCGACATAAATCCTTGATAACTGATGTTATTCTTACATCAATTTGGGCGGTCATTAGATACCAACAACATGAAATATTGTGTTAATTAAGAATGTTTAAATTATTAAATTAAAATTAAATTATGAGAGAACTAAATTATTAAAAAATAGTTTGAACCAACTAAATTGAACTATTTTTAGATTTAATTAACTATATTCTAAAAGTTTGAATTAAAATATTTCCTGAACTTTTTTTTTTTTAGAGTAAATATATCCTGAACTTAATTAAATTATTTCTTGTATTTTAACTCAAATGTTTTCTTATACTCTAAATGGAATTAAACATTTTTTTGAATTAAACCAAATCATTACTTTGAATTAAATTGTAATACACAAAACACTAAGGGGTTGTATTGAATTAGGATTTTAAAGGACTTTTTTAGTTGAAATTTTTTTTGTGAATTTTAAAAGACTTTGCAAGATTTTCATGACTTTTAAGATTTTGTAGGATTCTACAAGACTTTCAATCAGGATTTTATTGGATTATGCAAGATTTTAATGAATTCGCGGGACTTTGTGAGCTTTGCAGAATTTCATAAATTTTTTACATAGGATAAGAAATCAAGATTTTTTTTTTCATACATTCAAATTTAAAAAGAGTCAAATATAAAAATAATAAAAACAACAATAATGTCTGGATAAATAATAATAATAATTTTTCGTAATATCATGTCGTTCTAAATAGAATTCACCCACATATCCATAGCTATACTAGTCATCTAAACATTAGTATCTTTTTGCTCTTGCTCCTGTGTTTTAATAATAGGTTCAAAATTATGATTTTCATTAACCAGTAATGTTGAAGATGAAGGTTCGTCCATCACTTCAATTGAAAATTCATAATAATGACATTCTTTATGAAGAAAGTTATGTAGTCCCACACATGCTAAAAATTATTCTAAACAACATTTTGAATTTTTTACAATTTATGATTTAAAATATTTTATTTATAATTTTATAAATGATTAAAAAAAAATAGTGGGACAACTACCCTACTCTCTTATAACTAAATATGTCCCTTCATTTTATATCTGTACAAAAGTAGAAATTTACAAACATCAATTGGGAGAAAAAAATATATCTGAAATTTGTTACAGGTACAAAATAAATTTTTTAATTTTTAATTGCTTAATTATTCACTCGTGAAGAAATATTTTTAGTATTGAATTCTAAGATACTGCAATGTCTTATGTTAATTTTATTTTTTAAAATATAAAAATCCTAATTTCATAATATAAAAATTAAAAAAATAAAATTCATAGTAAAAAAAAATAAAATAATTGTTGAGTCATAAAAAGGGAAGGATAACGATAACAAATTCAAGAAAGGGAGAGAGATCACAATTTTTGTATTGAGAAGGTTCTTCCCCAACTAAGATCCATTCTTATCTCATTCTACTTACAAAAACCCTAACTCAAATTCATCTTATATATATATATATATATATATATATATATATATTGTAGAGATCATGATAT